ATTATCTATATTTATTATCGACCATGTTATCAACATTAAATAGGTGTGATAAGGTTCCATTTTCCTCTTTTAAAATGGCGGATGGTAGCTTCACGTATTACCACAAGTAATCAAGTTGATTGTATATATCTGTGCGTAAAACCCAAGTTTTTAGCTGAAATGTGAGTACCTATCTATAGTAGTTTATATACACGTGTCCGTATCATTTGATTGAGGGCCTGAAACTCAATATTGGATTCGTTTTTCGAAAAAAATCTATTTATATAAATTATTACACATGGGGAACCCCGACTAGTGCATGATATTACTCGCGTACGGCATACCGTATACACATATATAATATTATGTTATTTCATATTATTATTATTTTATACACCGCAACCGCGGAAAGATATCGATATTACAATAATATGTACAATGTCACACGCGGTTCGAGGGAGACACATTTTACACAAATTCTCTTTTTATATGCAAAAAAAATACATGGGACGTTTGCTACGCGAGAAATATAACCGATAAAAATAAGTCAAATTATATGATGCGTATACCGCCATAATAATACAATATATCCGTAGTATGGTATTAATATTATAATATATTTCTGCATAACCGTGACGCGAGAGACATCGTTGTCGTTGGGGGGAGGGGGTTGATGCTGAGGGAATTATATTTCGACGAAACGACGTCAACGATGAGGACGAGTTCGACAACTGTTGGAGAGATATTATTTTTGGCCAAAACATTGTATGTAGGTACAACGAATAACTTTTAATAAACACGGTTTCACGTGGTCGTTCGCAGGTGGTGTGTCCCACCTGCGGATCACACGTCATTTTTCGACGATAAGTTGTTTTTCGGCTAATAACAAAAAATAAATAAATCAAATTGACTTGTTATTATTATCACATGGTTGATTATTTTGTTTTTATTTTAATTTAGATTTCCTGCCGACAGTCGTTACTGATATTTACAATACCTATTTTTTTTCTTTTTAGCAGCTCAACAAATTAAGTTATTTACAAAAATATTAACACATATAGTATTAAATTATCGAAAACGCTATATAATATTATTATAATTATACAGGATGTCCATTTTAAAAACAAAAGTTTTCATTTCCACAGTTAGTACGCACTATTGCAGTAGTAATAAACACCTACCCACTAACAGAATGTTTAAAATACGAAGACTTTAGAAAAAAAACGACTTACCTGCGCAACTATTCGAATCCTGAGATCCAGCAAAGAAGCGAACGCCAAAATATAATATTTTTTGAAAACGTCAGAATTATACGACTTAATTTAATTTAGTAAAATACCAGAAAAATATTGTTTAAAAAAAAAAATCTTACTAAATAACTGTTCGCTAATAACCATTGTTGTCGAAGCTTTTTGTTCAATAATGAAATAAAATAAAATAAAAAATACCTACGACGTTTCGCATTGTGTTCGCAGGTATAGTATAATATAGTCATAGCCGAGAGTGGTAAACTTTTTTTTCCTTTTTTCTTTTACTAGACGAGCACACGACGCCACGATCTTTTGAGCCTTTTTTCGGGATTTACTGAAATAGTTGCAGATGATATTTGGGATTGGGGGTGGTGAGCAAGTTCGCAATTTAATCGCTTAAAGTAGAGTTTTGCTAATTAAGTGATATTGAATATTTTTTAATGTCACGGTGAAGGAAAAAAGTAGAGTGGAGCTTTTGATATGACTTTCAACTATGAATGACTTATCGACAATCATATATTATTATTATTATTATACAGGGTGCCTATTTTAAAAATAGAAGTTCTCATCTTCACTGTAAGTTTAAGTACGCACTACACATATACGTGAGCAGTACCTACAACAAATTTGAAAAATTTAGAAGTACGATCTTTTAAATTAGGCGTATTTACAAAATTTCAAAAATCAGATTTCAAAAACTATTATTTAAACGATTGTTTCTGGATAACTCATCCACGAGAAGACACAACAATATTATAACGATAAAATATAACAATATATTATATTATTATTAAAATAATAATATGGTCTTTTCCACGTCGCATCCGTAGTCGTGCTACATCGTACGCACCACGACGGTGGCCGAAAATAAAACATCTGATCTTAATTTTCTATAAACGACGTTTGGGCCATCATCAATTGCCGTATAATGGAGAGTGAACAAAGAAAACCCCTCGATCGGGGAACGAGAAAATCGAAAAACGTCCTGTTCAAAGTGTACGCCTATAGCCTATACCGCATCCGGCCAGATATCCGTTTTTCTTTATTTTTTTTTTCGTATAGCTCCGAGAAACTTTTTTTCCAAACACACTACCGAAAATGTGTTTGCAAAGAAAAAAAAATAATAATAAAACGCCGTTGTTAAACCGTTACGTATTTCCTCGCCTCGCTCGGAATCTATAAAACGAAAAACGCAAGGGGCGTAGGTTTTTATTATATTATATACTTTTTCGGGTACCTGCCTACACATTCGACAGTTTTTCTTCCATCCGAATTCAAGTGCCGTTACACACCAATATAATATAATATTGTTGTATATTTATAGTGTTCAATTCGCAGAATGTTTGAGCGTCTATATAATATGAGGTTGTCGGACTACGCTTGGGGTAATATAAGATTTCAATATTTTCGAAAGTACATATCTTCGGAGAAACGTTTCGGCGGAGTATCGCAGTTCCTATTTATTTGCGAAAAACAAATGAAAAGTTTGACGAGCTCGGGTATATCACTAGTTTGCATGCTGATATCGCACGTCATATAATTCGACATTTCAATCGCCTGACCTGACCCGTTGGTTTCCACTGTTTGTCTATTGGCAAACTTTTTTGCTTTTTTTTTGCCGGTAACAGTGAAAAAAAATGTTGTGTGCGGCGAAAAACAAATCAATAAGAAACGGTTTCAACGTTTTTTTGTTTGGCTTTTCTGTAGTGGCCGTTACTTTTTCGTACGGTGTCGACTTCGCCCGTAATGAGGCCTTATCATTTGTAAAAACAAAAACACTATATTGTGCAGTGTTATCGGAGATTTTTGACGTGCTCTGCGGGCGTCATTGCCTCGGCGACGGTTTGAATCGAACGATCCTCGCCGAAGTAACTGCAGGTAATAATACACGTATTACATGTATATTCCTAGCAGTGCTATAATATACTATAGGCAATATTGACGAGGAAATTATTTTGTTTTTTATGAAATATTACGATATGAAATTCGCAGCTAATGAGCGACGATAAGCAAATTGCCAAACGTTTCCGTGAGCTACGATAGACGATAAAAAAAAAATTTAGTACGGGAAAATTTAATGATAATTTTTGATTGAGTTGAGTCAAGGCTTGATTAACCAATAGGCTGAGCAGGCTACAGCCTAGGGCGCCAATCGGCCAATGTTAAATTGGGGGCACCTCATCCTCCCCCCTACTCCGGTCATTGGGGGGGGGGGGCAAATTAACCCTAGCCTACTGGTGACCAACTCATTAATCGGGCCCTGAGTCAAGCAGATGGAAAACATTTAAACAAGTTTAAAGTCAATAGTTATCCTATTTTTTTTAACTCGATTAAGTTGAGAGCTATACGGAAACTTACAACTAACTTACTAACTCAAATTAAGTTATTTATTTTTGAATTTATAAATAGCCAGTTTTATGGTTTAAAATAACGAAACTATTAACTAACGAAATCGATTTGATTAAAGTAACTCAGTTTTTATTGAGTTTGAATCAATAAAAATCAGTCGAGTAAAAAATGACGTTAAAGAAAATCCAACTTCAAAAAGTTAAATGAAAAAGTTAAAATGTACTTAAATTCAACTTTTTAACTCGCTTATGCTAGGGTTGATAACAATCAATATCTGATTGGTGATGAAAACTGTGGCTCGCTTGGATCACAATTTGGTTTGGTCACCACTGCATCACTATAACATATATTATAGTGGAAGTGTCGTATAGAGTGTATAGACTATAGTACCTACATTATTGTTGTAGACTGCGAAGGGTGAATAAAGAAAATAAATTGTACCTGTTTTAATCAGCTATACGCGCACGTTGTCTTAAACCATGAGTAACTGCGCTTCTACCAGAGTGGTGTTATATTAAACGCACAGTATATTATAATATTATTTTTTTTTGAAAAACTCTGCGAGGGTGTTTAAAAAAATTTTTATATTATATATGCTTCACTGAATTAATTTTATAATGGATGGGAGATACTTACCTACCTATGTAATAATATATCCGCGAACATAATACATATTAAGACAAACAATGCATGTTATTATTATGTGTGACCATATATATATATGAGTATAATATACATATATACATATAATATATAATGCGTGTGTGTGTATTACATAATTTGAGTGTACGGAATATATAGGTTTATGTATATGATATTGTGTTTCGCGAAATTGTTTATATTGTTTACTTTTGAGTAAATAAAAAAAATGAAAACACACACGCGTAATATGTGTGTATGGTAGCAGCGTGTTATCACACTTGTGAATATTATAATTATTATTATTGCTTTTGTGTAGTTTCCAATTTTTTATTTTTTATAACGGCGACATATGTTATCATATGTTTTGTTTTGATTTCCGATTATTCACTATTAAACGACTATGTTGATCAGCTATTTCAATTATTACACATTGTATATTCCACAATAATGTTCGTGTACTCACATTGCATGCACTATAACATGGGTCGTGTGTAAAGTTCAAGAGAAACGGGTCTCGGTGCACCACTATGTTGTACCCTTCTTGTTTACAACTGAGTTAAATTTTTTTTAAATTGTTGCCAGATTTCCCAGTGGTCAGTGGATGTCAATTGTGCAGAGTTCGTCGAGCCATCAACGCAAGTCTACGCGTCGTTGAAAAACGACAACAGAAGATACTCTTGAAGTGGTCCACTTCACCCAGAATACTTTACATACGATGTACATAATATGTGTTGTTTATCTGCGATGAAATTTAATTTGACATATTTCATTGCAAATAAGTCAACGCATATCTTCATCGTATGTAAAGTATTCTAGGTCAAGTGTAGTATCTTTAGTTGTCGTTTTCAACTTCCGTTGATGGCTCGAAGCACTCTGATCTGTAGACATCCGCTGGGCACTGGGAAATCTTTTGGTACTTAATCTATAGCTTTTTGGGCCACTAGTTGCAGTTTCCACGTCAACCGTTATTCTCCGTTGGTCTCTAGGAGATGAACTTTGCACCGAGGACTTTCGTTGGCCACTCGGTGAACATAGCATTATAACCGTACTCTTTTGTTCTTGGATTCTCAAATTCGTTTTCGTTAATATGGACGTAGACATCGGTAGTTGACTCGAGGAAGGATTTTGTTTATCCGTGGTCGATCTTTTCAAGTCTGACGTGGACTTTTGTTGTCCATTAGAGGAACTTGGCAGGGCCAACTTTGAATTTCGTCGGCCTTTAGACGATCTTTGCCCGGTTAACGTGGATATTCGTTGGCGAATCGTCGAACTTTTCACGTCAAACGTGGACTTTTGTTGATGACTCGAAGAACTTGACAAGTTAATCTTTGAATTTCGTAGGTCTTTGGACGTTTTTTGTCCGGCTAAGGTAGATATTTGTGGGCTGCTCGTCGAACTTTTCACAGCAAACGAGGATTTTTGCTGACCGACAGTTGTCTGGTACTTAGTTGATATCTCATTATTTCTAAAAGGTATAATGCCACGTTATATTTACATATTGGATTTATATGCCCTACAAAAATATGTCTAAATGTAGGCTAAAAAACGAGTCGGACAAGTAAATTACGGTCGATTAGTTTTAAAATTACCACCTAGAAAAACATAAGTCATATAACGTTTAGACATTGTATTGTCATTAACCAGTAACATATTATTATTAATTATAATACGACCAAATATTGATTATTTAATATTTATAAGTCTTAGGTCCCGTAATTATAATATTAATCACGAAATATTGTATCTGCGAGCGCTCTTATTATCAATGGCGTCGGTTTTCGCGAATATCTCAAGCAAAAACCAGTTGCAGTTGCACCCATTAAAAAAAAAAAAAAATGGGTAGTATTTCATAAAACGTATTCGACACTTACTTTTTTTGCAAAGTAGACTTTGAGGTGGAACACGACGGTTTCGTCACTGGCGACTGTTTTCTAGAACAATTGTCAGCAGTGGGTTCATACGGCACCCAATTAGTGAAAAACATGTCGTCCGGGTAATAGAGGCCGCGAGTCGATTTATTAACAGGTGGTTTAGTTTCTGAAACTCTGTATAAAAAACGATGAAAATCGGTGTGAAATTATTTTAGCTCGAAATATCATTGATTATCTTACTGTCGAACAATAGTTTTTCGACTGTTGGATTCCGACAGTGCCCGCCCAACATCTGAGTCGGTCACATCTCGGACGCCAAAATAATTGTATGATGCACAGTCACAACGATCAAACCAAATGGAAGCGAGAGAAACGCTGATCATAAAAATCTTCCAAAACGATGACATTATGATATGATTTCCCGAGTGAGTGATAAATATCCGTAAGACGTATATTTACAGCGTGTAAATGTATGATTAACCTTCGTAGAGATTCTTTGGACAAATGACAAGCTCGTTTAAAAATATATATTGTATAATATATTAGAACGAAAGCAGTTGTTTATGTTACAACTGAAAATGATTGTCAGGGAAACAAAATATTGTTACAGAGACGACAGAATATTTACTAATAACAATATAATATAATACTACAAAATATAAAACGAACTTTTAAGAAAAAATTCAAGATTTTTAATAATGTGTTATTGTCGATCCCTTCCCACCCACCCAACAGTGTTCAGATGCGCCAATGGGAACAGTGAATTACGAATTTATTAAAATACTATGCTACAAATAATAAAATAGAAAATATTAGATAAATATAAAAAAATGATTTCAAACAATACTCATTCGATTTTCGTTATTCTTGATTGTATAGTTTTTAGGTTCCATTTTCTTAACCGATGCCCGTATCAAACAACTACTGTAGAAGCAGGTCCAATGTCGAATAAAATTGCATTGTCGATTGTAAATCCACAAGACGTGTCGTATACGATTAGAGTAACAATCAATTGTGAAGTACCTGGTAATAAGTGAATAGTATTAATATGCCCACGGGCAGAGTATTAAATCGATTTTATATGTTTATAATATTATGATGGAGAGCTGCAGGACGGTTATGAGTATGCACATTGCACATCATATCTAAAGGCATATTATGACGTATAAGTATAAATATATACAATTAACGTAGGTATGTGCTGTGTAAATTATATAAATAAATAATTACCTACTTTGTATAATATGTATATGAGTGTGCTGTGTGCGAACGAAAAACATTCCGAGATCATGTCTGACCTCATCATAGCTGTTATAATTAGAAGCTAAAATATTGTGTATCTTTAGGATTGTAATATTAAATAAATAGTTTTCATACTTGTGAACGACTGCAGCAGGTTTCACTCCGAAAAACTCTAGAGTAGCTAGCCTACCCAATTTAAATTAGATTAACTTATAATATAATATACCTAGAAAGTAGAAAGTATAGTAGGCACTTTGTAAAGAGATATTTTTTCATAAAATACCTTAGTTTAAATATTGATACCATTTCTTTTATCTACAGCGATATTTTTAATCTGTGTAATGTGAATTCATGCATTTCGACAAAGGTTTTTTTAAATTAAATTTAATAATAACCCTCGGAATTAAGGCAATTGGAATAATAATACATTTTTTTTTAATATGTGTTACAATATTATAACATACATGTTAAGAAAAGATAGTGGTATTTATTTTATAATTTGTATATAGTATAATGATGCTTCAATATTAAATTGGCCAATCCAGTTTGCTGGAGGAAGGAGATGTTGTTGGATAATGGCAAGTTTGGTATGAGGCTTTCGCATATTATGTGCTCAGATAATCGATTACGGATCCTTGCATCGCTGCATGTGTTACACTCAGCCATTATGTGATTTATAGACAGATTGACACCACAGGATGTGCATATGGGAGGTTACTCTCTGGACATCAGGAATCCATGGATAAGTCTGGTGTCACCTATTCGAAGTCTATTGATATTGGTTTTTATTTTTTTGTTTTAGTGATTATTAGGCCAATGTCGGATTGATTGCTGTATTTCATTAAGTTTAGTTTTTCGTATAGACCAGAGGTTTTTTCAGGACTGCGCTGATATCAGTTTTATTGTGCGTTTAGCATCCTGAGCAAAGATGTTTGCCATATTACCTATGGGGACTGCCGATGCTCTGTTTTTGTCAAGCAGGTCAGCCTTTTATTGATGCGTGACTGGGAATCCACATTAATTTGACTACATTTCCTTTGGCGTGATGAGCAGAGATGGCAATCTTGATTTCCTTTGATATTTCATTGAGTGTGTGTGTGTGTGTGTGTGTGTGTGTGTGTGTGTGTGTTAGCAATACTTGGTATTGGACTTAGGAAATCGCTAAGAATGAAGAAGTTGTTATTTTGTTTTTTCAGCGAATATTTGAGGGCTTTTAAAATGGCAGATTTTTTCATGAAAATAGTATTTAAATGTAATTTTGCACTTCAATTTATCGAGTAACGATCATACATAGTTATCGGGACTGCTACTTATAAGATATCACAATTAAGCTGTAAGATGTCAGTCATCACTATGATACACTACATGGTTATGATGTGTGAAATATTATCATATTCTAGCTACCTAGACAAAAATTAAAACGAATTTGACATGAAATACGAATATAAGAAAATATATGTAATCTCAAACTTGAAAACAGTCGTGTGCCGGTGTTGTCTTTTTAATTTGGGTAATCCGTCGTAATAAAAATAGCAGATATGATACTTTTATAATCATTATAGTTTTAGCCGTAATACACACCTTCATACGTTATGTGGGGCAAGTATCTACAATAATAATATTAAAATAGAGCATTTTTGTTGTTTGTAGTAATGATATAAAATTGTGTTATACTCCTCCTGGCACCACACCCACCATAACAAACAAGACGATTTCATCCGATCCTCGGAAACGTGTGGGTACACAAACACTTCGGATGTATGGCGAAAGCGGTGTAAAACCCACCAATACGTCATTATGTTATGGACCGTATACAGGCCTAATCTACAGGGTGATTTTTTGATCAAGGACACATCCATATTTCACTTAAATGAAAATGTGAAAAATTTCTGATTTTTAAAACTTTTAAGAAAATATTCTTTCGAATTTACATCATCAATATTATAAACCCTGACAGTACTACTACATGATGAGTGTCCTAAAAATGAGAACCTTTTTTACCGGATTGTTTTTTTGAAAATGTTGATGTTTCTAAATCAAAATTATAATGAGTAATTTCTGAGTTATTAAAAGGTTCATACCAAAGATGATAATAATTTAAAAAAATAAATGCATTATGTAATATTAGATGAAGTATTTATTATACTGGGATCATTTTTACAAATTATTTATTTTGACAAATCTATAGTAATATTACTAAAGTTTGTAAATCTTCTAAGCCCCATATCTACTTAACCCGCCTTTACCATAGACATATTTTAACTCAAAAACTACTAACTCAGATTTTGATTTAGAATTTAGATACATCAACATATTAAAAAAAAACATCTAAAATAATAATTAAAACCTGTATTTTGTATTGTCACAGGATCTTAAATGGTACAAAAAATCTTAAAGATTTAAAAATATTGATTTCGAGTTTATTTAAAAGTTCCAAACATCAGAATTTGAATATATATGCATCATTTAGGCATACAAATGGGGCAAGCAGGCTAAAAAAACCCACCCTATATATTTAGTAAATTGTTATAATTACACAAGACTGACAAGTGTCTCGGTGTCGAGTTTGCAGTCGCATATACAGCACACACAGTCACATTAATATGTTGACTTTTTGAAGGCGTAATATAATATAGGTATATAACGCATAAGCTCGGTCCGGCAATAATAGCGATTGGTAATACGATACCGCGGTATACTCGTCCAACACGTCATGCGTTCGTGTTGTGTGCACGGAGTAAAAGCTCGCACCTTATTATATATCACCAAAACTACAACGATGACGATGATTATTATATTATTACACTTTTATACACTTTAGACTTATTAATATTTTATGGACTTCGCGTTCCCCATACCCTGCAATGGGTTACCAAGTACCAACGCCATTGGAAAGAGATCATAGATAAATTAATATAAATATTAAATATTAAATAGGTGAAGTATAGTTTAAGAAAATCATAAAATAAAATTGTAGAATCGTAGAATGATAATCGAATTTTGGAGATGGGGATCAATGGAAAATGATTTGCTCTTCTATGATATCTTCTTGTATGCCTTATCTCCTTCTAACAATGTCAGATTCAGTAGGTACTTCTCTTTTTACTAGCAATCAATTTCTTTATGCTTTATACATAGTTTAATGACTAATGACTGAGATACGTTTCGATCGGTCGATAAACATTTAAAAAAATTTTTTATTCATTTGTGTGGTTCCCGGGTTCGCAATTTTAATCGAATTTGATGGTTTATTTTTTGTTTTGCACGTCACAATCGAAAACCTAACTCAATTAATTTTGAAGAACGCATAGTTAAACTATGTAGTTCTCTATTCGTAAGTAGATCGGTGGCGAACAGTTATTTTAGCCAATGTATGAACATTTTTTGTCCATTATACCCATCGACAAAGTCGTAATGCGAGGTGTATTGTACATTTATTTTTTAATTTTTTAAATTAATATCGAACGATTACTGTGCCTCACTGAGATCACATCATATTATTATTTATCAATGCTACTACAATAACTATTGTTTATGTCAAACAGATTTATAAATAAACATGAAAATAAAATAAAAATATGTATGCGTTAAAAATGTTAAACTTAGCTCAGTTGTCAAAATCTGTGTGAAAATTTGTTTACTGACAGAGGTTAACAGTAGATGGAAAGGAATTTACAAAAATAACGAAAGTAGATGCACAATTTCGTGGAAATGTATTTCAAGCATTTGTCGCGACTAATGATAAAAACAAAGTGGGTTTGAACTAAAAAATGTGATGTAAGACGTTTATATTTATAAAAAACAAATAAAAATATAGTTACGATTGACGTCTCCGCTGTATAGTGACTTAGAGATGAAAATAAAATGCACTAATCCATTAGCGCATGCATTGCAAATTCAAACACTTCATGCGATTTTAAATATTTATAAAACACGACTGCAAATGTCGATAAACATAAAAATATATTATTATAATTCAAATACTAGCTTAAACTTATAAAAGAAAAATTGTGGAATTAATCTCCTGTTTTTACTCAATATAATTTATTATCAACAAAACGATACCACATTATATTTCAGTAATCTTTAAATGGTAATTATTAATTTTTTTTTTTTTTAAATATATTGACTTTATTATGAAAAATTACAATCTATACATCGAGTA